TCTCTTATGCTGTCTAAAGAAGGTATTTGAAATGAACAAATCATTTGGTTTTGCAGAAATCTATCATGCATTCTCCAGCATCATTTCTATCACCAAGGCCATATTTTCCACCTACTGATCCTTCCTCTTTGCTCCCAACCTTTACATTCCAATCACCAGTAATGATCCATACATCTTGATTGCATGTTCGATTGATATCAGATTGAAGAAGTTGGTAGTATTCTTCTATTTCATCCTAATTGGCTTTAGTGGTTGGTGTATAAATTTTATTAATAGTAGTATTAACTGGGCTTCCCTGTAGGGACATGGATATTATCCTATCACAGACAGCATTGTACCTCATGACTGATCTGGATATGTTCTTTTTGAGATGAATGCAACACCATTCCTCTTCAATTTGTCATTCTGGGCATAGTAAACCATGAGGTTGTCAGATTCAAAATAGCCAATACCAGTCCATTTCAGCTCACTAATGCCTACGACATCGATGTTTATGTGTTCCATTTCATTTTGACAACTTACAATTTTCCCAGATTCATACTTCGTACATTCCATGTTCCGATTTTCAATGGATGTTTACAGCTGTTTCTCTTTATTTTGAGCTGTGCCCCATCAGCAAATGAAGGTCCCGCGGGCCTTTGTTCCACAGACTTTACTCCATTCATGTCATCACAGTCAACTCTACTTTGAGGAGGCAGCTCTTCCCCAGTCGCATTTTGAGTGCCTTTCAACCTGAGGGGCTCATTTCCCGGCACTATATCTGACAATGTTTCTCTGCTATTCATAGTTTTCAGTGACTAAATATTCGCAAATAGTTCCTCACTCCTTCCTGTAAGCTCATCTGAAACCGGTCCACAGTAGGTGACCCTGCTGGTATTTAAAATATCAGTGGCATAGCTTCCAGAATCACAGCAACTCACAAGCCACCACAGTATGACAAACTGACAGACGAGTGGTGGAAGTGCTTGTGGGTTAATGCGCTGGACTGCAAAGTCGGTGTGAACCACAAGATTGGTGGTTCAAGCTCACGAGTCGCTCCTAGGAAAACCTATACAGGGTCAGAACCGACTCAAGGGTACTTAACAGCAATTAACCTAGAGGTCAGTGGTTGGGGAAGCCTGCAGTCTCAGAAACCCTAGGGGGTGTTCTACCCTGTCCTACAGAGTCACTAGGAGGCGCAATGACTGCCTGGCAATGGGGTTTGGGGTTTGAAGCTAGCAGGTGATAATGCGGCCCAGGCTGAACGTTTTTTAAAAATAAAATACAGTATTTTATACCGCCGGGAATAATGTCCTGGCTTTCTGCCCTTTGGAAGAATTCATGAAAGCAGGCATCAGAATCCGTGCATATGCGCAGAATCAGGCTGCCTAGACAGGTAACAGCTGGAGCAGCCTCCAGCTGGCTAGGGGTAGGCTGGATGCGCGGTCCTCAGCTTCCTGAGCGGCTTCCCTGGCGCCAGCCAGCCCTCCACAAACCCCAGGCCCAAGGACGCCGAGCGGACTTCCGGAGTCACTCCCTTTGGCGGGATTCCAAATAGCTGTGACATGGAGGCGGAAGGCAAGTCTCCCTCTCCACTAACCAGGCTCCCTTCAGCACCTCACCCTACGGCTCTAGTCACCCCGCTCCCGCTGCAGTCACCCAAGGGCCCCCGCACAGCCCGCTCCACCTCCCCGCAGCCCCGCGAGGTACTGTCGGCTAAGAACTCGCGGGGGCAGGGCGGGGCGGTGGCAGCCTGCGCGTCACGTGCCCGCTGCAGGCCAATGAGCGCTCGCCTTGGGGTCGCTGGGCGGTGGCCGGCCGGTTGGACCCCGCCGGTGTTTAGGTTGTGGCGGAGTTGGCGTGGGGCAGGCGAGGGGCAGAGGCCATGGAGCAGCAAGTCCAGCGGGCTCGCGCCGCGTTCCGGTCCGGCCGGTCGCGGCCGCTGCGGTTCCGGCTGCAGCAGCTGGAAGCCCTTCGGAGGATGGTGCAGGAGCGTGAAAAGGACATCCTGGCGGCCATCGGCGCCGACCTGTGCAAGGTGCTGATGGCGACCTCCCGCCTCCCCAGTTAGGGGCCTCCTTCTCCTGAGCGTCCTTGTTAGCGAGTCTGTAGAGGGGTTTCACAAAGCAGCTAGTGGGTTTGAACTGCTGACCTTGTGTGCGCAGTCCCGTGCTGATACTGCAGCGCCCCAGCGGGACTCGGATTGCGCAAGCTAAAGTTTCTCCCGACTTTCCTGAGTTTTTACACAAATTTACAAGGGCATGCGTTTTCTGCTTTCTGTAGATACCCTTTTATGAATGACTTTTAATAATTTGCCCGTGTTTCTGTAGTATCTATGGTCCGTTTTCATTTCGTTTGAAGGAGCTCTTGGTGTGCCCTAGATTTTAAAGTTTGCCAATTGAATTTATTGCTGGTATTTTTCACCGAGTCTGTTTCTTGTCTTTTAACATTGTGGTTTATTTTGTAGACAGACGTGTTTTCTCGTCGTCCATCATTACACTCAGATTTTCCCTCTGTGATTCGGGTCCAACTGGAGTTTACTAAGGAATCCCAGGGACCATGTTGTTATGGTTCAGGAGGTCTGGGATGGGGTCTGAGATTCTTTTAACTAGCTGCCTAGTGACGTCATGCTTACTGTCATTTGGTTTTCATTTTTTATATGCATTCCACACAAAAATGTATAAGTGTGATTGTTCTTAAGTGCTTTTGAGTCGATTGGACTAACAAAGACTGTCAGATTTCTGAGGAACAGTTGGTGGGTTTGAACTGCGACCTTGTAGTTAGCAACCTAGTACTTGCCCTACAGAACCACAGCCAGACTCCAGAAAGTTTGATTAGGGAATGCCATTATTAATCAGGGAAGTCTTCCTGAAAGATGTAAGGTTTAAACCCAATTTTAAAGAGAGATTGAATACACAGGGGGAGCTTCAAAAATTGCAGTGAAAACATAATGGAATTCCATCAACTTTTTGAAGCCTTTTCATATTACAGAAGGCATTTACAAGTTACTGTTGAAAGCTTGGGATCCCTGGGTTGAGCAATCTGTTAAAATACTCAGCTGCTAATGAAAAGGTTTGAGTCAGCCTAAAAGAGTTCTCGTGTGGCACTGTAGGATAAGCACTAGGCTACTAACCACAAGGTTGGAGGTTCAAACCATCAGCTGCTCCTTGGAAACCCTATACTGGGTCACTATAGGATAAGTACATGATTGCAAGGTTGGTTTGAACCGCAAGGTCAGTGGTTCAAACTCCCCAACTGCACCTTGAAACCCTAAGCAGGGTTACTATGGGTCAGAAATGACTTGCCGGCACCTAAGAACAACATGAGGCGCTTAACTTAGAAGCACTTTGGAATAAAGGTTTGGTTATCTGTTTCTGAAAAATCAGCCATTGGAAATCCTCTGGGGCACAGTTGTAGTCTGATACATGTGGGGTCACCATGAGTTGAAATTGACTGGATGCCAACTGGTTTGGAGGTTACAAAGGTCTGGGGTGGGGGTGGGGGGGTACAAAAGGAATCTGGATGGTACACCAGCTAGTCTAATAGTGCAAGTTTTCAGTGCAAGCATGCCTGGCCTGAGGTTTTTTGATATTCAGGGCTGAATATGCCATGCTCATTTTGTAAGGTTAACTGTGGTTCTCTTTGAACAGAGTGAACTCAATGCATATAGTCATGAAGTTATTAGTGTCCTTGGAGAAATCGATCATGTATTGGAGAAGCTTCCTGAATGGGTTACTCCTAAAGCAGCTGAGAAGAACTTGCTCACCATGATGGACGAGGCCTATATTCATTCAGAGCCTCTGGGAGTTGTACTGATTATTGGAGCTTGGAACTACCCCTTTGTTCTCACCATCCAGCCACTGATAGGAGCCATTGCTGCAGGTCTGGTAACATCTTACGTCTTTGTACCTTCTTAGAAAAGTTTATTCTCTTCTATGGGCTGTAAATTAAGGATTCTGCTAATTATTTTCCTTGGCAATTTGTCTTGGTTTACAACAGCAGTGTACTGAGAATTCATAATGATAATATTTGTTAAAAATTCGACTCCAGGGGAGATTTGCCTGATTACTGTGTTTTCAAGCACCCAGGTAGTACACATGTGAAGGTGTAAAGGGTTCTGAGTTAACAGGTCAAGAGTTTGGAATCAGACAGCTTTTAAAAACATATGGGTTCAGTTGCTGGCCCTCGGTTACCTCTTAATTCTATCTGACCAATAAGTCAAATAAGACTTATCTATAGGAAGTAGTAATGCTACCTTGGGTGTATAGCAACGTCAAGAGAATAAGTTATCACTTCTTCAGGTCAAGATCAACAGCTTTGTGTCATCAAAGCTTGCTTGCCTGACAATATTAGGACAGAGAGGAGAACTCAAAGAGTGGGAGTAGGAAAAAATCATAGAAACCCGAAGGAGTGGAACTGCCCACTGAACCGACTGTTAAGGCCTTGGAGCTAATGAGAAGTAAGGAGTTAGCATTTGAGACAGAAAGTGGGAAGGAGGAGAAAGTGAGATGAGTTGTCTGCCTACTGTGAGGAAGAGCAGAATGAAGCGCTGCAGAAATCGTTTGTGTACCTAACCTATACTCTACACATGAAAACTTTTGGTCAGCATTGAAGTTATTGAAGTATTAGATGATATTATTCTGCTTTTTAATTTGTTTAGGAAATGCTGTAATTATCAAGCCTTCTGAACTAAGTGAAAGTACAGCCAAGATCTTAGCCAAGCTCTTTCCTCAGTACTTAGACCAGGTAAGAATGTCTAGAAGCATCGTCAGCATGTCTATTGTGGGAAACACAATTTGATCTTGTTGTTTAATGCATGTCATTGATGACAGGAGATCTGTTTGCAGGTTCTTTAAGCCTCCAACAATTGGCTTAATGAAAATTCCAGAATAAACTGAAATGACCCAACTATTGTGGTTACATAATATGTTTAGGCTTCATAGGGACACTTGGTGTTTATAAATCCTTTTTTACTATTTCGCAATTTGCGTGTAAAACTAAGATTTTAGGTGTATTCATTCAATGAATTATTTGAAGGTTTGATACTGTGCTGTGTGCTGGCATTATAGTTGGTATTGACAGGTTTTTTGTTTTTGTTTTTGCCTAATGGGTTACAGTGTAAGTGTAGTTTTGCTTTTAAAGGGGTCATATTTGGGCATGAAAACTACAGAAAGAAAGTGACCCCTGAACCAAAGGTTGGATCCTCACCTAGAGTTAAAGTTTAACTCTGCCTGAACCTTAGGTTCTTGTATTCTCCTAGGGAGGAGGCTTATGATGCCACTCTGAAACTCAGACTGCTAGTTCTCGAGAAATTGCTGCAGCAAGGCTTTATAGACCACACATTCAGCTCTACACATTCTTTTTTTTTAAGTTTTTATTGTGAATTGAGTGATAGTTTACATAAACAATACCAGTTTTACACTCATCCTATTGTATTTTGTTTCATTGCAATGACTACAATCCCCTCTATGCATCATCATTCAACAGCATTTGCTTCCAAAATCGGTGGGGTTTGTTTTTTATTTTGTTTTGTTTTTTTTCTGGATGTACACCAAAGCACTCAGGAATATATAATCATTCAAACAACCAAAAGGCATACCCTGCAAGCCTGCCTCCTGGCCGCCAACACACAGCGCCTCTCCCTCCCTGAGTCCCCAGCCGCTCCATCTCTCCATGTCATCTTCTCTGCCTCCATCTCTGGTGTTGCTGCTTCTCTGGATAGGGTCCCACACTCCACTCTTCTTCCTTGATGGCCCCAGGGTCTCTACACATTAACTTTTTTTTTTTTTCCCAAAAGTAAGATCTTTTATTTGTCACCATTAAAAGTCTGAATTTTAAACAGATTCTTGAACTGGTGGCTCATAGCCATGGGCTCGTTCAACTTTAGCACCTGTCTCATCTCCAGTAGCTTTTCCAGAACTGCTGCCTTCACCATGAAGCTCCATGAGTTTTCCCAACTCAAACCTGGGCTTCTTCAGCATTTTCACTTTCCTAACAAACATGTCATGGAGAGGGTAAATAGACTGGCAAGCCTTCTCTGTGTCCTTTCCAATGCAGTCTGGGATCAGTTCACTGACCACTTCTTTCAAGTCATTTGTCTGCACCTCTCGGGTCATGATTTCCATCATTTTCTTCTGGATTTGATGGACCTGTTGGTGGTGAGCATAAGATGTCTTCTAAATCTGGTTGTTGCGTTTTTTAGTAAAACCAAAACAGAACAGGGGAAGCAAATAACCTTCTATAGTCTTGACATCAACGTGCGCTTCAGTCATGGTCTGTCATGTTTTGACCATGGAGCACATTTTGTCACGGGTAAAATCCATGCCATGGAAGTTGGTCAAACCGTTTTTGTCCTGAACATCCTCAGTAATTAGCTTGAGTTTTCTAAATGCAACTTCATCGTTCTGAAGATCCGCAAGACTCACTTCAAAAACACGACCCTTGAGCCCATCAGATGCAAATTTGGTTCCTTGAGTCCTCGTGACTAGTGTGTTCCCAATATTTCGTATATTGAACACAGCTGGGGCCTTCATATCATACCAATCTTTCTTAGACAATGGATCAAACACTTTCTTCTTGGCTCCTTTTGTGCCCCCTTTTGTAAGGCGCTTGTTCTTGCCGACCGCCGTGGTGCTGCTCAGAGAGCCAAAAGGGCTCTACACGTTAACTTTAATAGCCTTGAGCATTGTTCTCTTATCACAATCGTCATATACAATTTTGTTATAATAACTGTAGTTATCCAATTTAGAAGGGTAAAATTGGGCTACACTAAAGTGTCATGGACAGAGTAGGATTTGGAAGCAGAAGATTTATGGTTACGGTCTTGTTCTACCCCTCACTTGAAATAAATACAATATCTGACTCTTGAGACAGGACTAATAATGCCCTTTTACTTCCTTTTGCTTGTGAGATCAGTAACATACGTAAACTGAAGCATTTGGTGAGCAGTTGAACTATGTGTAGTGAATGAGAACTGACTCATCCTTCAAAGAGTGGGAAATACACTGAACGCATCAAGTTCATAAGCCAACTGTTACGTCATACTTACAGTTCACAAGACTTTGAACGTCTCACTCTTTCTTTCATGTCATCTGTTCTCTGCCGTTACTTTCTGTGCTATTTTTTTTTCAAGATGTTCTCTTTTATAATGTTGTTGTTGTTGTTGTTGTTAAGTGCCATTCAGTTGGTTCAGACTCATAGTGACCCTCTAGAGGGTTTTCAAGGCATGGCTGGTGGGTTTGAATCACAGTCCAGTGCTTTAGCCTACAGCGCCACACCAGGACTCCCTCATTTATAATAGCTGCTGATAATAACACAGGAGCATGGTGACTTCATACAATAAGAACTGGACTGTGAACCACAAGGTCCACTTTTAAGCTTGCCAGATGCTCTGCTTGAAAAAAGATGAGGCTTTTTGCTCCCAGGAAGATTGAAAGCTTTGTATACCCTATAAAGGGTTGCTGTGAGTCAGAACCAACTCGACAGCACTGTAACAACAGTAACATAGTGCTTTTAAGGGGTCAGTTCATGGAAGCTACATGAATTTTCCAAATAGCAGATGAGGAAGCTTGAGACTCAGAGGATGCTCAATAACTTGCCTGTAGTCATAGAAGCCACTAAGTGTCAGAGCCAGGTCGTGCTAGTCCTGTCTACCTTATATGCCATTTATTCAGAACACATTTGTTTGGTGCCTACCAAAGGAGTGGTGCAAACAGTAATGCACCCAGCTGCTAACTAAAAGGTTGGAGGCTTGATTCTACCCAGAAGTGCCTTGGGAGAAAGCTCTGGTAATCTACTTCTAAAAAAAACATCAGCCATTAAAAACCATATGGAGATTTCTGGGGGTGAAATGGTGGGGTGGGCAGGCGTGTTGAGCAGACTCTCTGCAACAAGGAACATGATGAGACCAAGTGAGACAGCTCTAGATGGTGATCTAGATGGTGATCTGGATGGTGATCTGGATCTGGATGGTGAGCTGGATGGTGAGCTGGATGGTGAGCTAGATGGTGATCTGGATCTAGATGGTGAGCTGGATGGTGAGCTAGTTGGTGATCCTGGAACCCTGAGCTTCAGAGAATAGGACAAAGGGTGGGTTGAGTGATACCTAGAAGAGGAAGCTGAACAGGAACAGCTAGAGAGAAATAAAATGGGTGGCTGGTTGGCTGCCTTGGTGTGGCAGGGCCATCTTGAGCTTTTAGGGGTGGCTGTCGATACAGTGGCCTAGAGGCATAGATGCAGCTGGAGGTTAGTAGCAAGGAGGGTGAGGTCCTCCCTTGTTCCCCATACATTTGCCAGCCCAACTATCTATAGCACCCTCTCCTGCACAATATCTGCTCTGCCTGGGTGGGTTTGAGTGCTGGGCATAGCACCTGGCATCTGGAGGTATGTGAACTTGCTCTCAACTGTGTTGCACAAAAAGCCAACAGAGAACTGCATTCACACTTCCAGTCTCTTATCACATCCACCAGGAGAGAGATGGTGAGTGCTTGAGAACACACCAACACACCATCACCAATTAAATACAAATAATGCATCACCACAATGTCTTAGAGACACTAGACAGCTTACATGAAGAAATAAGGCAGAGTGCCTCAAACAAATAACCAAAATATAGAGTTATAAAGTATAACGCCAGTGATGTTATCAGAGCTACTTGATAAGGAATTTTAAAGAATGCTATTTATCCTTCAATGGATTGAGAGAAAGGTAGATAAAAGCAAAGAGAACACACACAAATTTAGAATTCAGGAAACATTACAAAAATGATATGACAAAATAAATGAAAAATTAGAAACCATACAAAAACAGCAATTGGGAAGTCAGAAAATGAATACTAAAACTTCAGAAATAGATAACAATTTGAAAAGGCAAAAAATTAGAATTTAACTTAATTTTAATTAAGTTAATGGAAGGTCAAATTACTGAGCTTGAAGACAAATATTCATGTGCTTGAGGAACACCTGAAAAGAGATTTTAAATATCCAAGGAAAGCCTGATACTTATGGGAGACACTATCGAGAGGAGGAGTCCTGGTATGGCACTATAGGATAAGCACTGGACTGCTAACCACAAGGTTGGTGGTTCAAGCCCACCACTTATTCCTTGGAAACCCTTTACAGGGTCGCTATGAGTCGGAACAGACTTGATGGTACTTAACAGCAACATCAAAAGGAATCACTGTGTGATTGAAATTACAAAACAAAAAGAGACAACAACAACAACAACATAGAGAAAGTTGTGGAGAGTTATTGGATGAAAATAGGCATTTAAGATGTTGAATGAACTCCAAACAGGATAGACCCCCCAAAGAAAATCAATGACCAAGACATCCTCAAACTTTTCAAAGTCAAACATAAGGGAAGAATCCTGAGAACAGCTTGGGAAAAAGAAGTTTACCCACAAAGGAGAAATAATAAGGCAAAGCTCTGAGTGTTCAGCAGGAACCATGCAGGCAAGAAGGCAATGGGATGACATAATAAAACTCTGAAAGAAAAGAAAAAAGTTGCCAACCAAGAATCATAAACCCAGAGAAACTGGCCAACAAATATAATGGCAAATAAATGACATTTCCAGAAAAACAGAAATTTAGGAATTTGTAAAAACTATGCCGACCTTACAAAAAATACTAAAGGGAATTCTTTGGACAGAAACCCAACGGAAAACAGCAACCTGAGGTTACCATACATGACGCCATCACCCAGAATTCAACTCACATATGTTGTTAAATGCCATTGAGTAGGCTCCAATTCATAGCGACCTTCTATAGGGTTTCTGAGGAGCAGCTGGTGGGTTTGAATTGCTGACCTTGCAGTTAGCAGTCAAGTGCTTATCCTACAGCGCCACAATCCATGTATGTTGTTGTTAAGTGCCGTTGAGTAGGTTCAACCCTGTACAGGGTTTCCAAGGAGCAGCTGGTGAGCTTGAAACGCGCTGACCTTGCAGTTCAAACCAACTTTCCAATCCAGCACATTAACCCACAGCGTCACATCAGTACTCCACAATCCATATATTTGTTGTTGTTGTTAAGTGCCGTCGAGTCGGTTCTGACCCATAGTGACCCTGTACAGGGTTTCCGAGGGTGTAAATCTTTACAGGAGTAGAAAGCCTCATCTTTCTCCTGAAGAGCAGCTGGTAGTTTCGAACCGCTGACCTTAAGGTTCGCAGCCTGATTTGTAACCACTACGCTACCAGAGCTCCTTTTCAATCTATATATAGAAGTAGTCAAAATAAAGTAAACCTGCGAGACTGAAAATAAGGAAGCAGAGATACACAGTTTTCAACAACAATAATAAAACATAAAATAAAATAAAATAGAATAATACAGTTACAGAACATCCAAATGAAGAGAAAATCAAGTAGATTTCAGGAAAAAAATAAAAAATAAACCTGTTATCCTAAAACTAGACCAAGCCTTAGCCCAATCCCTACCCCAACAATACCCCAATCCATAACCCTAACACTAAATGAAGTGTTAGACCTAGCCATAGCTCTAACCCTAACTCCTTACTCCTACCCCGGCAAAAAAAACCACAAAAAACATACCATATGGAGCCCAGTTTTGGGGGGCACCAAGGAGCTCTGGTAGCGTAGTGGTTATGAATCGGGCTGCGAACCACAAGGTCAGCAGTTCGAAACTACCAGCCGCTCCGCAGGAGAAAGATGAGGCTTTCTGCTCCCGTCAAGATTTATAGCCTTGGAAACTCTGTACAAGATCACTATGAGTCGGAACCGACTCCACAGCACTTAACAACAACAACATTAGTCAGAATTGATTCAGTGGCAACTGGTATCAATTAATATGGGTAATGTCCTGCATTCAGACTAACCCATTTAACAGAGATCTCTTCTATGGTTGATAACATTAGCCACTTTCTCACCAAAATCCACAGCTTCTGGACCCTCCATTTCCTTGATTGAATCCAACCAGTTGCTCACCTGCTCCTCTATTTTTCTTAAGTACCTTTGTTGCTGAGCTCATGTAGAAAACAGTGGACTGTTTGGATCAGTTGGTGACAGCTCCCAGACTCCCTCACACTGTATTCTCTAGTTGTCCTTGGTCAGTGTTTCTTCCATTTTTCAGTCTTGATTTTTTTGCTGATTTTACTGAATATATTTATATTAACAAATTGCTCATGTTTCTCTTTCTTTAAGGACCTGTATAATGTTATTAATGGTGGCGTTAAGGAAACCACAGAACTTTTGAAGCAGAGATTTGACCACATTCTCTATACGGGAAGTACTGCAGTTGGAAAAATTGTCATGGAAGCTGCTGCCAAACATCTAACACCTGTGACTCTTGAACTGGGAGGGAAGAGTCCATGTTACATTGATAAAGATTGTAACTTGGACATTGCTTGCAGGTGAGTTGTTCCCTGGTTATCTGATATTATCTGAGGAACAGGTAGATATATTCTCTTTGCACTTGAACCCGAACCCCATACTTTGTGACTCGAGACTCATCATCAGGTGTTGGTAGCTAATGTCCTCAAGGGTAACAGAACTCTTTCACAAACCATCTCTTAATACCACTATCATAAAATAAAATAAATGAGCCATTGTTTTAATGTCATGTGATTGTCCTCAGGAATGATGAAAACATTGTTTTATCTGTCCTGGAGATTTATAGATAGCTCAAGCAAGACATTTTACTGTTCTCCTAACAAATGATCCAAGAAGTAGGCTAATCCAAAGTGTCTTGTATGCCTGATAAAATTGTTAGATTAGCAAACTGAAAGGGTAATGTTTATCTTGCAACCTTGTCCCTTTGTTGATAAAGCCAGTATGACTCATCTTTTTACTTTGAATATTATCTTGCATCTGGGATCTAGAAACTAAGAGGTGTCAGGTTCTAGCTGCTTAATCAGGTTTAACTATCAGAAGTGTCAAAACACAGAAGTGACTTTGACCTGAGTCTAATGTGGCTGCCTTTCTCCTTCAGGGGCGGGACAAGGTAGTCAGGTCTGAGTTCCAGGGGGGCTTCGGAAGTAAAAGTCGATCAAAACCAGAGACCCTGCATCAGTGAATGTTCAGGGTATATACTTGTATCCGTATCTAGAAACAGCATTCCAAGTTGGGGAAAGGGTCCATCCACACGGAGGAGATGGTCTTGTCGGCAGCACAGAACCACAGCTGGGAGAGGCCGAATCTGTACCGGACTGCTTCCATCCAAGATGCTCTTAGGACTGGAGGGGGAAGAGAAAAGAGGTTTCTCCTCTTCTCCTGATGCTTTCAGTGGCTTCACTGCTCCTAAAGGACTGTTTCCCATGAGTTTGCTTGAGAACTTCCCTGCCTCTAGAACATTCTACCTCAATCAGAAAATGATTGAAACAAACTGATTCACACATGATTTCAAAAAAAATTTTTTTTTAAAGATTACCAAGTAAATATGAATACATTCTAGTTGTAAGACATTCAAACAACACAAAAGTATATAACAAGTGATGATTAGGCTGAATGATGTAGCTATTCTGTTTCTTCCCCTCCCCTGCCACCACCAGACGCATCACCTGGGGGAAATACATGAACTGTGGGCAGACTTGCATTGCTCCCGACTACATCCTGTGTGAACCATCCCTTCAGAGTCAAATCGTGCAGAAGATTAAGGAAACTGTGAAGGTCTGTGTTCAACACATCTGATTCCATTTCATTCCTTCAGAGACGGAGTCAAATTAACTTAGCAGGCAGCGTCCTCATTCCTTGTACTTCAGGAGAAGTCAATTGCATCTGTGACTGAATTAGTTAGTTGATTAGGCGTGCTCTGAGCATCTTTTATGGAAGGTCTGCTGGGAGCAAGGTTCCAAACCAAAAACCAAACCCACTGCCATCGAGCCAGTTCAGACACATTGCGACCCTGTATCGGGTGTAAATGTTCCTGAGAGCAGACAGCCTTGCCCGTTTCCCCTGGAGTGGCTGGTTACTTTGACACACTGATTTTGTGGTTAGCAGCCCGGGCCCAACGCACAGCATCACCAGGCAGCAAGATTAAAATGTCTAGTTGATTTCCTGTGGCACATTCCTAAAAATAAAAGTGAAATAATTGTGTATGTGTGGTTTTGAGAGAATGTGACCAGTGTAATTGTTGAAGTGCAGTTGGAGGCTCCTTGGCATCTTGGCCATTGCTAACTAAGGTGGTCATAACGTGTGTAGAGGGTCTAGGATGACCAATAGTTTGGAGGAGTGAGTTAATTAAATACCTACTTATAAGATACCCTTTCCAAGCTTATGTATCTTTCAGTGTGTAAAAAGATCTCTAGTGAGGGAACCAGGAGAAACTGCATGGTTGTGTCTTGAGCTTAGCCTTGAAGAAAATGTAGGATTTGGTTTAGTAAAAGGAATGGGGTGATTCGGGACAGAGCTGAGAGGAAGTCACTAAGCACCTTAGTTGGAAGAAATGGCTAGAACAATCTTTGTTCACTCAGAAGATGCTAATTGAGCACTGAAAGGATCAGGAATCAAGATGAGTAAGGCGTATGATCAGTGAATGAAAACTGTATGTTTGGAAGTTTAGGGGGATCGTGTGCCATGGGTGTTAGGCAGTATAATTCTGGGGATGGTGCAGACGGTCTTGATGTAAAAATTAAACATTAATCATAGATCATAAGATGGGTCCAGATCAGGAGATCATAAAGGGAGGATTGGGCAGACTCAGGGACTGTGGGATGGAAGAAAGGGTTAGAGATACCTGTGAGATGAAAAGTACTGGGAATTGAACACGTGGTTAGTTGAGGAAAAGAGTTTCTTTGCCTTCCTTTAAAGGAGCCCTGGTGGCACTGTGGGTCAGGCATTGAACTGCTAACCACAGGGTGGGCAGTTCACACCCACTACCCATCTGCTGTCATGAAGACTGAGTCTCAGAAACCCTCTATAGAGTCAGTAAGAGTTGGAATCTACCTGATGGCAGTGAGTTATTTTGTTTCGGTTATTTTTTGCCTTCCTCTGAAGTATGATATACTTTAGGACAGTGGTTCTCAACCGAGTTCTATATTGGATTCTCTGGGGAACCATTTCAAAGTAAGTCTCTAATGCTTACTCTCCAAAGATTCTGATTTAATTGCTCTGGATCGCCAGGTGCTTCTGAGATGCACCCAGCATTGAAAACAACTCTAAGGAGCCATGGTGACACAGTGGTTAAAGCACTCGGCTCTTAACCCGAAAGTTTGTGATTCAAGTGCACCAGTTGCTCTGTGGGGAGGACGGATGTGGCCGTCTGTGTCCTTATAGGTTTACAAGCCTGGAAACGCTAGGGCAGTCTCCTCGGTCCAGTGGGTCACAGTGAGTTGGAACAGACTCCGTGACAGTGGGTTTTGGTTGGTAACTCTGGAGATGGGGCCTTGGGACATGCATTTTACAAGCAGCCCAGGCAAGTCTATATTCTACCCAGACTTGAGAATTCCTACTGGGAGGTGAAGAACATTCATTTTAAGTTGACAATAGACTGAGAGTTCTAATCAAGCTTTAAACTGATCTCCTAAAGTGTCATTGCAGTGATTAGAAGGCAAAAAGCCGCAGTTTAGTGACTTTGTGGTTGCTTTGTATAATAAATATTGATTGTACGTTTATTAAGGTTCTGTCGTGGTGTCACGCTGTGGGTTAATGCTCCTGACTGCAAAGCCATTTGAACTGCAAGTTCGGTGGTTCAAGCTCACCAGCTGCTCTTTGGAAACCGTATACAGGGTTGCTATGGGTTGGAGTCGACTCAACGGCCCTTAATAGCAACAACCTTGGTTAATTTACCAAAACTGTATTTAAATTCTTTTAGTGGTTTCATTCTCATCTATGATCATTCCAGAGAAGATATAAAACAACATAAATGGAGGAGAAGTTGCAAACATAAGTAAAGGGCGGTTGTTGTTGTTATTAAGTGCCAGTGAGTCGTTTTCAACTCATAGAGACCTTGCATAGGGTTTCCAAATTGCAGCTGGTAGGTTTGAACCACCGATCATGCGGTTCCAACCAACCTTGAGGTCCAGTGCATTATCCTGCAGCGCCACACCAGAACTCCCAGTTAGGAAATATTTTAGGCTCTGCATGCCATAAAATCCCCAGTACAACTGCTCGGCAGTGTTGCAGTGAGACAGCAGGCGTAGCGAATACCTAAGTGAATGGGCTAGCCAGATGCAGAGCAAGACTCCTTCCCCATACCTGCTCCACAGGCACCCCAGGAAGGCCCAGGGATCAGAGGTCTGTATGAACCCCCTGAACTGTATGGGATATGATAGATCTTGGTGTGTTTACTTTTTATTTATTGTCCTCCATCTGCCTAAAAATTTTAACTTATTACTACTATTGTTGTTAAGTGCTGTTGAGCAGGTTCCGACCCATAGTGAACCCTGCATAGAGTTTCCAAGGCTGTAAATCTTTATGGGAGCAGAAAGACTCATCTTTTACCCGCAGAACTGCTGGTAGTTTCGAACTTCTGACCTTGAGGTTAGCAGCCTGATTTGTAACCACTACGCTTCTAGAGCTCTACTGTTAAATTAAGGAGCTCTGGTAATGTAGTAGTTATGAGTCGGGCTGCTACCTCAAGGTCAGCAATTCAAAACTACCAGCATTCCATGGGAGGAAAACGAGGCTTTCTGTTCCTGTAAGGATTTACAGCCTTATACAGGGTCGCTATGAGTCGGAACCGACTCCATGGCACCTCGCCAACACCACTATTAAATTATTTGTGGAGAATTGGATTCTGTGAGAATATAAACTCGTATAGATTTTTTTTGGCTTGGGTGGATTTTGTGACTTTTTAAGAGATTGAAACATTGGTGTTTTATGACAATTGAATATTGCATTCTTTTAAATAGGAATTTTACGGAGAAAATGTAAAAGAGTCTCCTGATTATGAAAGGATCATCAATCTTCGTCATTTTAAGAGGATAATGAATTTGCTGGAAGGCCAAAAGATAGCTTACGGTGGTGAGGCTGATGAGGCCACACGTTACATAGGTAATAGAGGTTTTCCTTCTCCTGTGGAAACATGGCAATGGTAGTTTTTACTGACACTAAGCAAACGTAATGATCTAACATTTCAGTATGCCAGAAAGCAATATTTAATAGTTGAACAATTGTAGTAAAGTTTATATTAATTAAGCTATTGGCACTGCTTCTGGCATACTACTTTTATTATCCACTATTTCGAAAACATATATGTGTGTGTGTTTGTTTAATAATGCCATCTGTGTTGTACTGACTTTTCAGTATTTATACGTAGCATTTTCTCATTTTTTTTCCTTCCTAGTAATGTTGAGAAGCAGTGTGAAACGCTGTGTAATTATTCCCAGTTTATGGATGGAGGAACAGCCTAGAGGAGGAACTAGCTTAGGCACAATGCCACAACTAGCCAATATCAGTACTATTCCAGATATGATGTTTTGATCTGTTATATTTGACTTTATTATTGATCTTCTTTGTGTTTTTTAATTTTTTACCACTAATATGTACAGTTTTGAATTTTAAGCACATGTTGCTATAACAACATTCGGGGAGGCAGAAGAATTATAGGCACATTCAGGCGGCAAAGGAACTGTCCCAAGTTACCTTATCTGTGAGATAGCCCAAACCACTGCCCCGAAGTCAATTCTGACTCCTAAGGTTTTCCGGCCTCAGATGCATGTGAGAGTTGCACAGTGACTAAGGTAGACCCTAGAAGAATTGATGCATTTGAGATGCGGTGTTGGAGAAGAATGTTAAAAGTACCACGGACTGCCAAAAGAACAAACCAGTCTGTGTTGGAGGAAGTACAGCCAGACTGCTCCAGGATGGCCAGATTTTGTCTCTGATGTTTTGGACACGTTAGACCAGTCCCAGCAGAAAGGACATGATGCTTGGTAAAGTGGAGGGTCAGTGAGAAAAAGGAAGCCCCCCCAGTGAGGTGGATTGACACAGTGGCAGCAGCAGTGGGCCCAAGTGTACCAACAATCATGAGGTGTGCGGAGGGTCATTCCATTGTGCACAGGGTTGCTAGGAGTCGGAACCCACTGCTGGGCACCTAACAACAATAACAGTAAAAGTAAATTCTTCAAAACGAGCAGTCCCCAGGTGCTCTGAACCCTGTTACTGTCTGGTCATCCAGCCGTACAGAACAGAGCAGAACTGGCCCATTGGGTGTCCAGGCTATAAATCTGTACAGAAACAAACTGCGCATCTTCTCCCATGGAGTCTCTTGTGACCGCTAACCACCAAGAGTTGGACGAGCAGCCTCATTCTTAACCACTGCGCATCACCAGCTGCTTCCGGGGACTCAGGACTGAGCAATCCTCTAGACCCTTGATCATCTTTCAGCATGTGACTTTGCCGCCCACTGAGTGGCTGTCTGCATTTCAGGCAACACGGACACTTGTATGCAATAAGTCCAGTTGTTGTTGTTAAATAGCATCCAGTCCGTTCTGACTCATAGCGACCCTGTATAGAGTTTCCAAGGTGAGTTTGAACCATCAACCTGGCAAATCAAACCAACCTTGTGGTCCAGTGCATTACCCTACAGTCCACACCAGGACTCCAGTATGTCCAGTAGAAGGAAGGAACTGTCTCTTGTTTTTTTATGTTTTAAGAACAAGGAAGCCTTTTCCAGACTTGTAGACTGAAATGGCAAGGGGGTAGTAATGGATACCTTAGACTAAGGAGTAGCTTAGGGCTTTCCCCTGACGCCGCATCAGGGCATCGTACCGGAGCACATGGCTGTAAAGGGAGAAGGACATTCGTCTTCCAATCCCGAGGAGGAAGTAGAGACTGGGCTTGGAGTGGTATGAAAAGGAAGCTAGGAATAAAGGAAGAGCACACATGGCATTGTTGACAATTTGTTGGCAAGGGCTTTTTGAGTCCTCATGTAGCGCTGGAGGATCAGCACTTGTCTGCTAACCACAAGTTTGGTGGGTGTAACCCACCAGCCACTCCTTGGAAACCCTGTACAGGGTCACTATGAGTCCGAACTGACTCGATTGCACTTAGCAACAACTGGTGACTTGGGAGTCCCTGGTTAGTGTAGACCAGCAACTAACCAAAAGTTTGGTGGTTTGAGTTTACCTAGAGGAGCCTCAGAAGAGACGCCTGTTAGTCTTGAGGTAGTCTTTGACGTAGGGTGGGACTTGATTCCGACAACGCCATCATAATTGGTTCTGATGTGAGTTCAGTACCCTCTTTGTGTTGCCTTCATTATTGCCTTTTAATATCTTGATAAATCTGATCTTTATGGTTGAGAGTTGGAAGCTTTACAAATGACCATCTAGGAGTGAACATTTGAGAATGATAACATCAGCACATTACATACTGAAACCTTCCACGTGGTCCATATTTGCAGGTTTCCCACACTATTTGTAAGTGGAACAATCTTACGACATCTTGTGTAAGCCAAGATAGTGCAAATGAGGAAGCAATTACCATTAATTAGTTACTGTTGAATATTTTATTGTGCTTTAGGTGAAAGTTTAAACAGCAAATTCGTTTTTAATTCAATGATTGTTACATAAATTGTTCCCTAACATTGTTTGCAATCTCTAATTACCATTAATTTATATGGGAACATTTTTTGAAGCGTCTTAGGCCTAAAACATAACCATACCAAATTATACTAATAACACATGAAACCTCAACTGTTATTCACCTAAAATGACAGACAGTTCAGAGGTATGATGGCTTGAGGGGACAAGGTGAGTTCAGTTCCCAAGGAAGGAGAGTCACCCCACCACTCTCGCTGTTGGGCTGCTCCCTGCCTCTTTAATAGCTTGCTGCACAAACAAACACACAATGCTAATTTCACTTTTCAACTTGTTTTTCTGAAAGTGAAAATTCTCTTTGTATTTCACAGGTATTATTTACTTTCTAAAAGTAAATGATGCCTTTATTACTAACACTTGTTAAGTGCCCTCAAGTCGATTCCAACTTATTATAGGGTTTCCAGAGTGTGGGCTTGCATTGCCGACCGTGCGATTAATAGTCTAGTGCTTATCCACACCAGAACTCCTTACTAATATTAAGATGTACAAAAAAGAAAACCAGGAGTTGTAAGTACACCTCATTGTAACTCTAATGCATTGTAATTTGGGGACAGCCGGTATTTACAGATGAGCCACTGAACAGAGTTCCACTGTGACACGTATCGGTCTATCATGATTCAGACTCCACAGTGATGGGTAAACTGGTACCTTAGCATTCGTATGGGTGCTGGATACTGTAAAACTTCAACCATTTTGCCCTCTTTCCTTGTACCCTTCCCCGTAACAGACAGAACATTGAAGGGTTAAGGAATTTTTACCTTTTAAATATGTTATCTGTAAAACATCCTCACCGTTAGTGAGATAATATGCATAAAGAGACTTTGTATTATGAAGAAATTGGATTGATTTGCTTTCCAGAGAGACCTGCCTCACAAAGATGTAAACATAATCACATAAAATGTGTATGGTGGTGGTGGTAGTTATGTACCGTGGAGTCGGTTCCGACTCAGAGCGACCCTGTGCAGGGTTTCCGAGGCTGTAAATCTTTACGGGAGCAGAAAGCCTCATCTTTCTCCTGCGGAACAGCTGGTAGTTTCAAACTGCTGACCTTGAGGTTCGCAGCCCAATTCATAACCACTATGCTACCGGAGCTTCTTTTAAGTGTGTATAGATAGGGCTACCTATTTCATTATATAGCTCTCCTTGTTTTGCACAAGGATCTCTGTTTCAAATTCTTGGAGACATTTAATATTTTCACAGGTTAATGCACATTCTTAAGACTAGAATTTTTCAAGAGCTATGACTTGGGCAATGAAAAGGAATGGTTAGGTAGCCTTATGTAAGCAACATCAGACGGGAATTCTGCATTTTTGTCTTTACTTTAGCATTGTTTATTTCATTTTGTTGTTTTTTTCCTCTTTAGCCCCAACAGTCCTTACTGATGTCAATCCTGAAACCAAGGTGATGCAAGAAGAAATTTTCGGACCAATTCTTCCAATAGTGCCTGTGACAAATGCAGATGAAGCCATAAAATTCATAAACGACCATGAAAAGCCCCTGGCTTTTTATATATTCTCTAATAATGATAAGGTAAATTTCATAGACTGCAACTTACTATCACAAACCATTATCATAAATCATTTTCTTTCTTTACTGTAAAGCAAATAATGTTTTATCGTGTATAATACTAGAGTTCATCTAATGAGGTTGTATCCAGAGATTACATTATCTTGGGTAATGAGCCCCTGGGGTATCACTGTATTCTTTCCCATACTCCCTGGAGTTAGATTTGAGTCTACAGGGTGTTAATCATGCTTTTAACTGACAAACATCCTTTACATTTGGAAGAGTTAGATGTAAATTCTTTTTACATGCTTTTCTGCCATTTATCCAGAGAAGGATTCCTGTAAAAGAGGTTTCCCCTTAAGCCTAACTAGCACTGACAAATACTCAGATGTGGCTTTGTGGGACCAAGATCTCTTGTACTGTCATGTAAACAACTGTGATATCTTGGACTAAAATTTCTCAAATTAAGCCACTTTGTTGTTAGTGTGATGAAATGAAAACAGGTTGAACAACTTGGAGGATTGCTTCAGGGCTCACGTGGCTAGCAGTTTCTACCACTAGAAGGTGGTTGTTTTTGCTGTTAGGTGCTGTCGAGTTGATTCAGACTCCCAGCGACCCTGTGCCCAACAGAACAAAACAGCCCTTTCCTGCACCCGCCTCACAATCGTTATGCCTGAACCCATTTCTGCTGCCACTATGCCAGTCCGTATTGTTATACGTCTCCCTCTTTTTCTCTGACCCTCACTTTACCAAGCATGATGCCCACCACCAAGGCTTCGTCTCACCTGATAAATTGTCCGAAGTATGAGAGACAATTCTGGCCATCCTGGCTTCTGGAACATTCTGGCTGTACTTCAGATTTGTTTGTTGTTTTCCAGGCCATAGTACTGTTAATATTCTTTCTTCTCTGACACCACGACTCAGATACAACACCTTGTCTATGGCCTTCCTTATTAATTGTCCAACTTTCACATGCATATGAGGCAATTTAAAAGACCGTGGCTTGGGTCAGGTGCACCTTAGTCCTCAAAGTGACATCTTTGCTCTTCAACACTTTATAAAGAGGTCTTGTGCGGCAGATTTGCCTAATGCAATATATCATTTGGTTTCTTGACTGCTGATTTCCTGAGTGTCAACGGTGGATCTGAGCAAAATGAAGTCTTTGACAACTTCAGTCTTTTTTCCATTTATCATGATGTTATTTATTAGTCCAGTAGTGAGGATTTTTGTTTTCTTGACATTGACATGTAATCCATACCAAAGGCTTTGATCTTCATCAGTAAACATTTTAAGTTTTCCTCATTTCAGCAAGCAAGATTGTATCATTTGCATATTCACAGGTTGTTAATGAGTCTTCCTTTAAATACGATGCCACATTCTTCTTCATATAATCCAACTTCTCGGATTATTTGGTCAGCATGCAGATTGAATATGTATGGTGAAAGAATACAACCCTGGTGCACACCTTTTATGATTTTAAACCATTCAGTGTTCCCTTGTTCTGTTTGAACAGCTGCCTCTTGGTCCATGTACAGGTTCCTCATGTGCACAATTATGTGTTCTGGAATACTCATTCTCTGCAATATTGTCCCTAGCTTGTCATGATTCATACTGTCAGTAGCCTATGTGGAGGCAGTAACACATAGATAAACATCTTTCTGGTATTCTCTGATGCCAGCCAAGATCCATCTGATGTCAGCAACGCCATCCCTTGCTCCATGTCCTCATCTGAATCTGACTTGAACCTCTGGCAGTTAGTTCCTTGTCAGTGTACTATTGCATCTGTTTCTGAATTGTCTTTAGCAAAATTTTACTTGTGTGGGATATTAATGATATTGTCCAACGATTTCCACATTCTCTTGGTCCCCTCTCTTTGGGATAGGCACAAATATTGATCTCTTCCAATCCGTTGGCAAAAGAGCTGTCTTCCAGATACCTTGGCAGAGATGAGTGAGTGCCTCCAGTGATGAAATAATTTATTGAAAGTCAAAGTCATAGGAGTTCATAAACAGGTGTTTTCTAGAGAACTTCTGATGGCTCTGTATAGGCAGTCATGTGACAGCCCTTACAGCTTGATTGGAGTAGTGACACTAGTTCTATGAACACATGAAGTGAGACCAGCTGTGTGGGACTCAGTAGAGAGTGGGCCCTTAGCTTGTAAATTTACCATCGATACAGTACTGTTCTAGAACGCTGAAATCAATTGCATATTGGCCAGGGTGTAACTGGGCCTGCTGTTGATGCTTAGACAGGAGCGCTCTCCACAAGTCAGGTAATCTGAGGTGCTACTGTCTGTAGATGGCCTTAACTATTAAGAGCTCTCAAGGGCTTCCAGGCACCCAGGTAAAATGACGTAGACCAGCCAAGCATTATTGTGCCTGCTTGGATACTGGGCTGAACATTTACTTTTTCTTCTAAAATAAGGACACTAAGTCTAGAATCCTAAATATTTTTTATAATTCGTGAAGACATAAAAATATCTATTAATCATGTGCTGTAATTTAAGATATAGAAAGCAGTAGCCATTTCTAAAATACAATCTGAATGCCCATTACAAAAAGACCTGCTGTTTGTGCTTTGTAAATCTTTTGGTGATGATGAGTTAAAAGCCTTGAAGATTCAATGTTGGCCTCACTTGGTGTGTTAGTTCTGCTTCTGAGGTGTTGGGTACATTGCAAAATTGAGCTACCATCTAGATCCTGTATGTGTTTGGTCAGATTTGTTTACTTAAGTATTACTGATATCAGAATGGACATGGTGTCTCCACACTTGAGACTCCTTCTCAAGTGCAGAGGTTGAGTACACGAGCCCTTCCACTGGGGCCACACACAGACCCACAATTGTCTGAGGGTCTGACCTAGAAAACTCTGTTTTGTTTCCTAGTTGATCAAACGAATGATTGATGAAACATCCAGTGGCGGAGTGACAGGCAATGATGTTATTATGCATTTCACGCTCAATTCTCTGCCATTCGGAGGAGTGGGTGAGTGTTACTTTCTCTTGTCCATGGAAATAGTTCATCCCCACAAGGGTGCAGCACACCTCATTGGCCTTCTTAACAAGCTGTCCAGTCTGCTTGGTGGACCACTCATTACATAGCCCAAATCTAGAGTTTGTCCTGATGTGGCGCTCTGGGCTACTGCGTCAGACTGCAAAGTCATTTGAACTGCAAGTTCGGTAGTTCAAGCTCACCAGCTGCTCCTTGGAAACCCTATACAGGGTCGCTATGGGTCCGAAACGACTCGAGGGCACTTAACAACAACAACAACCTACCGTTTGGTGGTAGTTACAAGACCATAGTCATAAAGGCCATGTAAGAGTGATCCATCACATTGCAGGTACACTGCCAAATTTCCCTGTTAAGTTTGGGCCTTTTTATATCTCTAGGAACAGTAGATGAGTGATTGTCCCATATTTGCTACACTGCATATTTCCATTACAAGGCAAACTGCTTGGCAAAAAACCTGTTTCACAGTCTTTGATGGTTGTCAGGGGTGGGAGGTAAGGAAGAGTAATTCACTGGCTAGAAGACAGTAGACATATGTCAACTCGGATGACAGGGAGGGCGATAAACGAGGAGGGAGGGAGACACGCGAATAATGAAGGGAGCTGAGACATATGAAGGAATAAAAAGTATTGCTATTAAAAAAATATGTTTCATTTTTACTTGTATTTCTTTGATTATTGGTAAGGTTTTGAACTTTTTTAATTCTCATAAATTTTCTGTTCATGTCCTTTGCTTGATATTTTTGTTTTGTTCATTTTCCATTTTGATAATGTAAGTACCCTCATTATAACCAAGGAAATTAATCATAATTGCATCTGTAGTAAATATTTCTTTCAAGTTTGCAATTTTCTTTATTACTTGAAACTTTTGTGTTAGTTAAACCTTAAACCTGTGATGCCTCTTATGGTTTCTGATTTAGACAAGTCTTTTCTACTTCATCTTTGCGAGAATATTCATCAGTATTTTCTTTAAATTCTCTAATGTTTTGTACATTTAATCATGGAGTTTTTTTCTCAAGAGTAAACCAATTATGCTTGCATCAGTTTTGTTGAAGAATTAGTCTCTTAAATTTTATTTGAAGTGTTATCTTTATCATAAACTATCCTCAATAAGGAATCCTAGAGTGGTGCTCAAAGGATAAACACTGGATTGCTAAGTTTAGTGTCAGCAGTTCAAACCCACCAGCCTCTCCTCAGAAATGCTATACAGGGTCACTTAAAGGCACATAGCAACAACAAGAACAGCAATATACTCACACTTTTTTTCAACAAAATAAATGTGACTATACACATGGATCTCATCAGGTGAAATACATAGTAATCAACTTGACTACATTTGTGGGAAGAGACAATGGAAAACCTCAATATCATCAGCCAAAACAAGGCCAACAGCTGACTGGAACAGGCCATGAATTGCTCATATGAAAGGTCAGGCTAAAGTTTAAAAAAATAATTAAGACAAATCCATGAGAGCCAAAATAGTACACTGGGTATACGCCATCTGAATTTAAAGACCATCTCTAGAATAGATTTGATGCATCAGACTCTAAAGACTGAAAACCAGAAGACTTGTGCGATGACATCAAGTACATCATATGCAAAGAAAGCGAAAGGGCATTAAAAAGGTCAGAAAGAATGAAAAGACAAAAATGGATCAGAAGAGACGCTGAAACTTGTTCTTGAGCATAGAGAAACTTAAAACAAATGTAAAAAATGAGAAATAAGAGAACAAACAAGATGGCGGATCGGGTGGACGTATAGCAGAGAGCTCCGCCAACAACAACACAGAATACCCGACCAAGCAGGCTCAGGGGATGGTCCCAGAACTCTGAAC